AACTGTCCATTATAGTTCCACCCGTATTCTAAGTTATCAGTCTATGTTGCAGCTCCTGGATCTCAGCTGTCAGTTAAAAATGCGTTAATTCTCTTCTGACAAATGCGGTTGTGACCAATTCACAGGCACCAGTTAAGCCCATTCCGAACCCTTATACATGTATACCTGTCTCTAAACTGTTCAATATTGTTGACGCTTTTACTGGAAATACGGCATGCTTAATGAAATCTTTCCGTCCATCAAGAGAGCGGGGAAAGTGACAAAACTTCATTACAGAAATCACCAAATGGGCCTTTGTTTCTTTATCATGTAAGTGATATGGATTAATGAGTTTTCCTCTCCCACAAACAGAAAAACAGCCATTCTCTAAAGTAACAAAACAACAGCAACTTTAACAACAACAATAACAACGACGACGACGACATCAGTCCTCTTCTCTGCTCCTAGAAATATGCTAGATCGAAACATCCTCTTTCCAAACTCTCTGAGACGTTTGATTTATTAAAAGTTTCTCATAACAAATCGAGAGATGGTTTCTTTATTTCTGTCCCTATTATTCAGTTCACGATTCAGTAAACTTAGACGATATTCGATTACACATTTCCAAACTTCGTGTAGAGAGGTATAAAAGATATTCTGTATATTAACAAACAAAAAAAACTACTCGAAATACACTATGCCGACCATCCCGAAAATCACAGCCATTTCAAAATAGGTTATAACACTGTCACATCGAAGCAACGCCACTTCCCGAAAATTAACTAAATGTCATCACGGGTTTTGGCTGTAACCAGTAAACACAACATTCAATTAATTATTCGGAACAACATCTTAACTAAAATCTTCTCATTCACGAGTATGTGACGGACAGATTGATGTAAGCTATTTTTAAGGATGCCATGTTTTTACAGACATTGACGAGTGCGCAACAGGAATTCACAACTGCAGTGCTGACGCTGCCTGCCATAATGTCGAGGGATCGTTCAACTGTTCTTGTAAACCTGAAACTTCTGGAGATGTAGGAAATTGCCAAGGTGAGTTGATTTTGAACAAAATGTTGAACAACTATCACTATCTTTACTCGTCTTAAAAAATACGTTTGCACTTACTGATTGAGCCCATGCTTACTGTGCATGCAATTTACACGCTACGCCACTCGTCGAGGGTGCACACGCTAACTAATAAGATGAACAATAGTTACAGTCCTAAAGGCCACGTCTATCGATCTTGGACGTTCGGAGACCCCTATTTTTCTTTCATAGCTAGATCACTTTGTTATCGTTTCCTTACCTGTTTTTTAAAGCAAATAAAAAGTCGTAAAATTTAAAATTTTTGCCCTAGGCATCTTCAAATTGCTATCTTATGAGCTCTTCGTTTAGCCATAGGTAATAGATAGAAGGTTAACATCAAAGAAGCAAGCAAACGGGCTACGATTTATGTTGGGAGGTGCTTATCGTGCACATCTTTTGTTCTCTGCTCATAGACTATGAAGTAATCGAAATGGTTCTACTGTTTAGTTGTATGAACACACGTAACGTCCTTTTGTACTTTGCGAGAATTTGTGCAAGGTCAACCCCCAAAATGGCCGGCAGTACAAAGAAATTTGCCAGGATTCATTATTATTGCCTCTATTACCTATGGTCTAGCTGTATCTTTAAGGGTCAAGGTTAGAATTCGTAACACTGCAGATCCTCTAACACAAAATATGAGAAAATAAGCGATTCATCTTTTATATTGTTTACCAATAAAACCTTTTAAAACAAACTTGCTTGAGTTTCGAACGCAATCTTTTTCTAATTTTTAAAGTTTTTCCGTACGCCTTATTTCAAAGACGAAAGTTTTGACCCCTATTTTTCTTCTATTTCTGAACAATTGAACAGCAAACAAAGACAGCAACGGTCATTTACAGTTTGGTTAAAAAAAAAAAAAAAAAAAAAAAAAAAAAACAGACAACAGTTGAGTGTTAATAATAATTATTTATACAACCAAGTTAGACAGACAGAACTAGCTGTCGTCAGGTACTAAGACGTTGTCCAAAAAGTGCTAAAAACGAATCAGATTGAGAATTTTTAGAGAGAAATAGCGCGTGTTCACAGCAGTCATATTGGCGTTTCCAAAGAATAAGAAATGCTTGCTTAAGGAAAGAACTCTTTTCTATAGGAGAAAAGTCTCAATGTTTGAAAATACCAATATGTCCTGCGTGACTTTTATAACACGTTACAGTTCGTGAGACATTCTAGGTTGTTTACCATTTACTCCAAAATTCTCAAAGGTTTCGGACAAGACAACCGGTGTAGTTCAAAATTTCCAACCGAAATAGCCGAACGGAAAATGATTACCATTTGCAATTCTACACCAGTTCTAGCCGCCATTTTGGAATCATGATCTGGGCGAACTCGTCCAATAGTGACTATAGTCTCTTTCGATAAATTGGGGGTTGTTAAGTAAGTGGTAAATGGCCTATCCGGATGGAACTTGCCACCAGGGATTTTGGCTTACCATCTGCAGAAACCTTTGAGCAACCGGTCCTCCACGTCATGAGAAGATAAACAACCCTTATATTTAGCCAAACTAAGTTCAGTGCAAGTGGTGGAAATATCGTAAGGTACTACAAACTAAGCCGCATGGCTTAGCCGTCCTACCACAAAAGACCAATAAATATTCTTTTTTCAGATGTTGACGAGTGTTCCTTAGGGACACATGGCTACAGTGCTGACGCTGTGTGTAATAATACCGAGGGATCATACCTGTGCATTTGTTTGCCTGGATATTCTGGAGATGGGCGGGTTTGCGAAGGTGAAATGTTCTATACGAATAAGATAAAATAAGAATGCAAATTTTATTCTTAGAGAGAAAGAAGTCTAATTCAAATATCTTCATCGTTAAGTAAACTTTATCTGATTGACACTATCCGAACAATGTTTCTTTTGAGGAATAATGAAATTCTCAAGCTAGTCAATTATATGTAATTATACTTTATAATTTTTGCGAAATATTGCTAGCGAGAAGGTTATACATTGTCAGTGAGAGCTAGTTATCTTGATTATCAAAGCAACATGTCAAAATTTGCTAAGGCAATGCCAAATAACGTCAAGAGACAGTTGACACATTAAAACCTCTGCGAGGGATGAACGTAAGGCTTCTCAATGTCTCGGCATCGCAACTTTAATTTCGAAATTCAAATAAATCTCGGGGGAGGGGGAAGGGAGGTTGCCATCTTCCCCTCCCTCGCCCCTTGTACGGTCAGCGTTTAATAATTTTATTACCATGGAATATCATATATCATTCTTTTCATCATAACTACATTGCTTTAAGATTCATGTTACTGATCCCTGTTGGTATCGAAACAGTTTCGAGTTACTTAAATTACTGAAACTCAAAAGGCTTTAAGACTTTCTCTTTTTTGACCAATTTTCAACACCAACAGGGCAAATTGCAATTTTATTTTACACGAAATCGTTCATTGGAACTTTCATACCGTTTAAATTGATAACGTTGGTACATAAAATATATTTATCGTTAACCTAGCGCGACGGGCATATTGAACAGAATTCTACTCCGTGATTGGCTACCGGCCAGAGCAGGGAAGATGGGACTATCTTGCCCGCTCGGGACTATAGCTACCTGCTGTTTTAGAGGGAAAAAATTGAAATAATAATACCTTTATGCGCATAAAGGCCTACTATCCAACTTTTGCGCCATTCGTGATGTTTTCAAGCTTGCCTTAATAGATTTCCCAAATTTAATACAAAAGGACTCATCTTTTGAAAACTAAGGTCACGTTATTAACCAAGCTTGTTCGGCCAAGATTGCTTGATTTTGGTCTCGTACTCTTTTAGCGTGTTTATAGCCAACTTGGCCAATATCCAGCATCTTAACTGCACGCTTTGTCAATATCTCATATATCTTGTTTTTAGATATTGACGAGTGTGTTTCTGGAATAGACGACTGCAGTGTCAGTGCTGTCTGCGATAATGCCATGGGTTCATACATGTGCACTTCCATACCTCCACATTATGGAGATGGACGGGTTTGCCAAGGTGAAGTATTCTTTACAGTGAAAAGATAACATTGTTCCTGATAAGAAATAGGATCTTAGTCTCTCGTTTCTGATTAATATGTTTAAGGCTGGTTTAAAATTTCGCATAAGTAGAAGAGAAAGAAGCACACGGAAACAGTTTTGACATCTCACTGCGTTTGTGTATGAGGCCCTATACTTTTGCGCAGGTGGAAACTACTGTGCCTTCAACGATTGAACACGCAAAAGAAGTGAAAAAGGAAAAGGGAAGAAAGAAAAGAAAAATCGAATAGGGAACAAATTATGATTAAAATTAAGAAACGAAATAAGCAAATTGAAAACATGAATGAAAAGATTGATAAGAATCCAAACGCTCGATCGGAACTGAACGATTTATAAATGAAGAAACTCTGTCTCTCGTCGGACTTTTTCTTTGAGCTTTATTGAAAAGCATATTATATGCATGTGCAACTATATTACTTGAAGTAATTCCATTACCAGAATTGCAACTGAATTCTAAAAAGAATTTTATTGAGCCTAACGTTTCCCCCTATCTTAAATAGTAATAATTTCTTGAAATTAAGAATTTCAGAATAAATAAATTGCGTGCTGTTCCACGTATTAATTAAAGGTTCCAATTTAGTTTGATCCCCACTAAATTGATTATATTTGTTCCAAGGCATCATTCAGCTGAACACGAGAGTGGAATTTATCTTCAGTATCATTGTCCCGTCACTAAATCTTTAGTTTATTGTTTAGGGTGTATTATAAGAGGCGAAGTTCTGTAAATTTATCGGTGTCTCGACTCCATCTTGATTGTCTGACTCCAACACAGTCTTGATCGATTCTTTGCTAAATTTCAGTCACTTTTCTTTCTTGATCTAGTTTTGCAATGCAAGGAACTTTACGAGAGGAATCTGTGAGTGGAAACATTCAATTTAACAATTTTGCTTAAGTAGGCTATCAGGGCAGGTGAGCTTTTACTTTAATAAAATCTAGAACGAAAGGATGAGGCCAGCTTGTACAAGAGACGGTAAACAAGGCTTTGAAATAAAGGAAAAGTAGCTAGACCAAACGTTACCTCAAAAGAGGGAAGTTAAAAGAATGAAATAATTTTTTCTTATAAGTCAGTGGAAAAAAAATTAAAAAGTTCTAACTGTTTAGAGATCCGATCTTTTGAGGGAAAAGAGCCCATCAAAGGATTTTACTTAAACCGTATTTTAGCGAGCATGTAAATGAGCATGAATGAAAATGTGCTTCCTTAAAATATTCGTCACCTGAGCTCGATGGATATATGTCACTGGTTTGCACATGCATATGCATTTGCAACTACTAATTATTATTACAAGAAACTGCTCTCAACCAATCACAGCCACGCTTCACGGAGTTTATTGTGCAAAAGCACGACATAAAGTACAAAGCATCGGGATAATGAATGATGATTTAATATTTTGTTTCAAGACTAAGGGGACCATTTTTACTCAATAGGACTAACGAGGGAAACCCATACTGTGGTCTTGGTGCGTGCGGGGAAGATCACTGGAAACTTGTTATGAAGATTGACGGCCCAAAGGTTACTCAGAGACCATAATAAATATTACGAGATTACTTTTTTACAGACCAAGCAGAAGCAACAAAGATACTTTCGCGGACTCCAAAAATATTTTTACCTTACCGTTCCATTTTGGTAGTCTTCGGCGTCACATCAGGAGACTTTGGTCGAACCATGGTGTACGCCACTACGTCTCGCCAAAATACTAGGGCGAGATCAAACGAACCTCATACATCGCCGAAGCGCACCGAAAAAGAAACGATTAGGTATTTATCGTACCCAAATTCGACCAAGTGACCACGATGTCGTAGAAATATTAAGTCAGTGGCTTGACATTGCGGGATGTCAGGACAGTAGTCACGGCTTCTGATTGGCTAATTGCACGTTTGGGTACGGTAGATATAACAGAACAATTTTTTAGAGCACTGAAGGCTGATTTGCACGAAATATTTTCAATTCTTCTGGAAACATTCAAGCATCCATCAAAAAGTGTCAGTTTATGATTGTGCAGGCCACGTGATATGGGTATACAAGGAGACTACTTGCTCTCTGCATGCGACGTTTTCAACTTCGTCAAATTGCATACTATGGCAGGTCAACTGACCTTAAAAGATTAAGGTCTATAACTATTTATGTGTTTGTTTTATTGTTGGTTTAATAACTTAAAACAAATATAAACATTTTGTCGTTCAGAGAACCTTTCACTATGATTCAAGCATTTGGAGCGAACAGCAAACATATAATCCTGCTGGAGCAGACTCTATTTTTGATACAGAAGAGACCAAATTGGCGAGCTACTGGGACACACCATTCACCAAGATCTTTCTCGGAATGAGGATCCCTGGCGAGGAAAATATCAATTTTCTTGCCATTAACCAGGCAGCTGACTCTTTGTACTCGCTGCTCGCTGACGGACAAAATCGCGCCACTTCACTTGGTCGTGACACGTGGAAGACGCTAATTGGTTCCCAGGCCTCCTTATAGATGAACTGTAACTTGGAAGGCTTCAATGCTCGTTGTTTCTGGGGTCCTAATTCCAGAGTTAGAATCGGTTTCGCTGCTAACAATCAGAACAATTGTTGGACTTGCGACTCCAGAATTGGCTTTGGTTCAGGTGGATCTCCTGACGATTTCAATACGTGTGGGCACGCAGCACAAAACGGGGATAATGGAAACAGCTTCATTAAAGCGATGTGTTACCTCTTTGTCCACTGAGATTCTGGGCAAGAAAAAATATTTCTTTTTCTGTCAGAACAGGTCACACGTTTCTTATAGATAGCGAGATTTCAGTTTACTGGCTATCTTTAACACGGGTACCAAAGGTTTCAATATATTAAGTTGGAGGGTGAGCCTAAAGGATAATGTCGAGTAACATGAAGTTAAAAAAATGTGTGTGATATTCAGCTGTTAATGTTTGCAGCTATAATTAGGCAAAATTTAACAAGATTGTCGGAAAAATAAAGTTCATTCAGTATTCCAAGTTTACATCAACGGTTTTTTAAATCGCTGTTCGATTCTTTTGAGGAATAGAATATTCAAGCGAGGAATAAAAACTCAAATATACCGTGACTGTTGATTTATGGGCGGGGGTAAGGGGGGCGGCGGGAACTCACTAGACTGATTTAGCAAGAGAACGGGAACGTCGTTTGACGACGGCGCGTGCAGTACAAATACCCAAATATGGTCAAATTAGAACAGAATCCAGGTTATTCCGCGCGCCCTGCAGTCGTCATCTGACCATATTTGGGTATTTGTATTGCGCGCGCCGTCGTCAAGTGACGTTCCCGTTCTCTTGCTAAATCAGCCTACTAAATCACTTCATGTAACGTCTGTTCGTCGGAGGTCATCATCGAAGATATCGGCACTACTATGTTACTCTTAAGAATGAAAATGAAGTCATGTAGGCATCTAGGTTTCGTTTGAAAGGTTTAAATATCAATCATTGAAACAGCAAAAATAATCGTTCTTGATATTACTATTTCTCTTTCTCTCTCTTTGATAAAATACCGTGTTTAGTAACGTGATAGTTTTTCTAAAGAGCTGCAGTGTAGATTCGTATTGATATTAGCAGGAATTGTGAGTTTCTTCTGATAAATTACTTTTTCTTTGCACAAAAATCGGTTATCACAGATATAAATTAAACTTACTATTAATTACATTTTCAAGTAGTGTACCGCTAAAAAGATCTAGGATACACAGATCTAATTATACAGATTTGCACTAGAG